GATTCACAGACGGTCGACTGCAGAAACACTTTTACTACAAATGAGTCCATTTTAAATCTCGTTTTCTGTTTTCTCTAACCACAGTTTTTCTAAAGTCTGCGGCGGAGACAGTAATTTTCTGACAGATTTTTGTGACCGGTTGTTTTCCTCATGTTTCCACTAGAAAAGTGGGTCAGATATTAAATATCAGTCTGGACCAGATTTCCCTCTGATTTCCTGAAAACTTTCTCTGGACTCTGAAGGACTCTGAGGTCCAGGCGTGTCCCTGGACGGTTCTTCACAGCTGGTCAGAAGTTTACAGTACGGACAGTACGTCTGTGGCCGAGGGCAAAGTAGCAGCAGATGCCCGTCCTGGTGGGGGGAATCAGGGGGGGGGGAAAACAGGGGTGCACCCCTCCTCTCTGTGGTGAAGTCGGGCTTTACCTCGACCTCATATAAATGTCCTACTTTTAAGTTGCTCCGTTTGTTTACTTTATTCAGCAGCCGGACAGCGTCATCTCAGGATGGAATTAGAAATGACGACAGACTGAAGATACCTGTGACAACAACAACAACAACAACAACAACAAGGTCAGGAGAACAGCAGAGTTTATAAACCCCGCTGCATCTTTTATTTTATTTTTCAGGAGGAAAATGTTTTATGGTTTAGAACCAAAATGGACCAACATTAAAGTCACCATCATCATCATCATCATCATCAAATGTCAGAGTGAGAAAACGTCTGCGGTGACGCTGTAACCTTTAATGCGGTTTGTTGCTTCCAGGTCCCCGCGGAGTCTTTTTTCTCTTTTCTCGTCCTCCCACACTTTTTCTGTCCAGATAAATTCCCTGACATTTAGGAAACAGATTAAAACAGTGGGTGAGATTTTAGCCCCTCCCCCCACACTCTCCCTCCCCCGACCCCCTGTGTGAAACATCACTGTAAACCACTCTGTGCAACAACAATATATAAAACAAGAGAAAAAGTTCCTGTCTTTACAGGAACACTGGAGAACACTGTTGGTGTCTGTGGAACCAGTTTTTCCCGCGTTCTGTTCCAACACCTGAATGTCACACAGGCTGCGTATGGACAGAAACAGAACAGAAACATATTAATGTGACCCCGCCGTGACCCCCAGCTCCACTTTCTTTATATGATCTATGAGAACAGGCGTCTGTTCATCCTGAGACTCTAAGTTTAGCCTCTTCCTGTCTTCACTCATCAATCGACCGTGAATCACAGCTTTTCTCTGTTGTTGCTTTTAGAAGCGATCAAAAAGAATTCACTCTTTAAATAAGCAGATCAATGGGCAGCGAGACAAGGCCGGGTCTATCTGCACACACACAGACGGACAGAGACAGACAGAGGGACAGAGACAGACAGAGGGACGGACAGAGAGGTCGACTGGTGAAGTGCAGGAGTTTTTCCTCCTGGATCTTGGACGTTTCTTCTGCTCCGTCTCTGATCCATGTTATTGACGGTGATTGTGATCCACAGATCAATGTTCTCCCCCGTGGACTCATTAACGGCGGCGGCCGTTTTAATTCCCACTTTCACTGCTGCAAAGAATGGAGTGTGAGACTGAGGCTCAGTGGACAAGTGAAATGTTTAACCTTGAGTCAACAACAACAACTCTGTCCTACTTTAAGATCATCCACGTCCTCTTCCTTCAGATCAGTGTTTGAGTTTTTTTTTATTATTTATTATTTTTGTTCTTTGTGTCCTCGTCGTTTATTCATAGCAGCAGAAACAAAACAGGCGCAGGACGATCAAGAGAAGAGAGAGAGGAAATCAAATGGAATCTATTCATGGATTTTCAATCTATTCAAGACTTTTAACTGGAGGACACACACACACACACACACACACACACACACATTCAGTCATTTTTCTCATAATTGTCCAGTGTAAATACAGTGGGTGAAACGACATCATCACCATCATCTTCATCATCATCATCATCTTCATCATCACCATCTTCATCATCATCATCTTCATCATCATAATCGTCTTCTTCATCATCGTCTTCATCTTCATCATCTTCATCAGTCCAGGTGTCTCCTCCTCTGTCTGTGGACCAGTGTCAGGAGGAGAACCATCTCCACCCTTTGACTCCTTGAACCTCCTGCTTCACCCTTTAGGTGCAGTTCCAGGTTCATCAGCCTGATTGGCTGATGATAAAGTGGTCGCCATGGTAACCGCTCTGCAGCAGCCAGCGGCCGCATTCATTTAACTAGAGAAGTCGTTAAATTAAAACCTCCTCCACCTCCTGCTCCTCCACCACAGAACCTCCTCCTTCGGGTGGACGTGTTGTCCCGCAGCCATCCATCACTGCCGTAGTGCCGATGAGCCACGATGTCTCATCAATATCATACATATAAGAACTGCTGAGGCATTCAAACAACCAGAAGGGGGAGAAAAGAAGGAGTTACCCACAAGGCCGTTCATCTTGATCCTCAGCACAGAGCCTTCGTGACGGAGACTTCCTGTATTTATTTTTTTTTAAACTCCTCGACTCGACTCTGTGTTGATGTTTTACAAACTGTCATTTAATCTTGACTTTTCAGAGATAAAACCAACTTCTCTTTTCTGGTTTTGTCGTTTCATCTGAAAGAAATACGTCCAACTTTCACCTCCAAACTGCAGAGAAAAAAACCCAAACAACCATGAAAAAACCAACCTCAGTTTCATCAGAGACACAGACCAGTCACAGGAAGGCGTTTGGTCGTTTATTTTTATTTCTTTATTTCTAATTTAGTCTGAAATTAGTCTGTAACTGGACAACAGACTGGTGTCAGTGGTTCACAGAGGCTGAAGAGTCACTGTGTGAGACGTTCAGGGACAGCTGGAGGATTTAACCAGGATTTGACGTTAAATAAAGACAACAACTGAGGTTTGACGTGTTGATATTTTTGTTGTTTTTTTTTCCCCCCTACATGAAGTGACGTCACAGATGAGACCCCACCGCTGTTTCAGCTGCTGCTCCCGGGAAGAAGTGACAACAGGATTCCACTTCCACACGTGCACGTGTAGCGCTCGGCGTGTCAGAGTGAGCGCCTGCGCCTGCGCACTAACACACTCTCTCCCTCACTTTCTCTCTCACACATTCCCGCACACACACAAACGAGCGAGAGGACGTGTGTGAGGAAGTGAGTGATTTTAAACCCAGGAAAACAAAACAAACCGGAGTGAATTTTTCTAAAAACTTCCCGAGGAGCTGCGGGATTAACGGAGGGGAATAAAGTGAAGCAGGAGGAGCAGTAGGAGCAGCAGGAGCAGCAGGAGCAGGTAGACTAGCTCCACACACACACACACACACACACACACACAGAGTCTAATTCACACTGACGGAAATGTTTGTTTGTCTGTAGAACATCTGACCATGAACCAAACCGCAGGAGCAACGAACTCGTACCGACGATGTTCCACCGCAGGGAAGGTAGGAACAACTTCGAGTCTAGAGAGAGTGGGCGAGTGTGCGCGCGCATGCTAATTGCACAGGTTTGGCGGTTTTTTTCCTTGCTGTTTTGTCCGCGGTGAACCGTTTCAACAGTGACTGGAACTGTTGGGTTCTGATTGTTGTTGTTGTTGTTGTTGATGTTGTTGTTGATGTTTAGAGACAGGAAGGAAAATCATTATGTTTTTGATAAAAAAATGAATCTAGTACTGTGGTTCTCAAACGATGGCACATGTGTAATTGATGGTACGTGTGCTTCCCCAAGTGGTGGGAAATGGCGGTGCTTTTGATTCCCATCAGGATCAGATGAATCATGTCGGGTTTTTTTTTCTTAAACGAATATTTGTGTGTGTGTGTGTGTCACTGCAGACTGCGGTGTGTGTGTGAGAGACAAAAGGCAGATGTGGTGGAAGATCAACATGAATGTTTGATGGAATGTCGTGGTCACATGACCAGAAGATTATTATTGTTGCTCCGCTGTAGTTTCGTCTTCTTTTCCATCGTCCCGTTGCTCTCTGCTGCGTGTGTGTGCGTGTGTGTGGCCTACATTTGGAAGCGTCGTCCTGTTGTTGTTGTTGTTGTTGTTGTTGTTGTGGAGTCAGAAAGAGGAGCAGAGAGATGGAGAGACGATGAAAGGAGGAGAAGCTGGAAACACAAGTCGAGGAGAGTGGGAGGAAACAGAGGCTGTGTGTGTGTGTTTGTGTGTCAGTCAAACACAC